ACCGGCACCGCTAACGGGAGTTCTCTGGGGCCCTCCAGCGCGGGGCGCTCCACACGGACATGTTTCCCGAGCGCCCGGGCCCGCGGAGCCGCCCCTCCCGTTCGCCCCAACGCCGGCTCCGGCCGCCCCCGGGACCCTCCGTGGCGGCGACGCACGCGTGGCACGGGGTAACCGGGCTCTCCGGCGGCGGCCACCCCTCGGCCCCGCTTCCCCCGTCCCCCTCCCCCCCGCGCATGCGCAGCGGCCGCCCGGGCGGCGGGGGAGGGCGCGGGGTGAGGGGCTCGGCGGGCGGGTTCCGCTCGGAGGCGACGCGGAGCCGCGGCCCCTCAGAGCGGGGGAAGCTCCGGCCGCGCTGCTCGGCGCCCTCCCGCGCCCTATGCTCGGCGCGGTGCGGCGCGGCCCGGGGAGGAGGTGCGCGGCGGAAGGTGGGGTCGGCACGGCACCCGCCAGCCCCGGAGCGCGGGGAGCGCTGCCCACCCCGCTACTTACGCGCTCCCCCGCCTCCCGCCGCAGGCGCCGCCGTCACCGCCGCCGCTTTCTCCCCTCTTTTCGCTTCTCGTCTTCACGAACAAGACAATATGGCGCCCGCTGGTGCTGCCCCGGAAGCAGAACGCGTCACGGCGCTGACCCGTGCCGGGCGCACGGGAACTCCGCTCGTCGCCATCTTTGCTTAGGGCAGACAGGCGGAACGGCGCGGCCCTCTTTCAGTGGCGGGCCTCGGGAGACGCCGCGCCGCCGCCATCTTTAGCGAGGGCAGCGCGCCATTTCCTGCCGCTCGGCGTTCTCCATGGCAGCCGCGGCGGTGGGCGGGGCCTCCTCCGTGCTGCTGCGTGACGGGGCGGCGGGCCCCAGAGCGGCGCTTCGGGGTTGGGCTGGGTGATCTCCAGAGGTTACGGACCACTCAGAATAAATGCTCTTTTGTTCCCGAAAAGCAGTACTGCGTCTTCACGTTTTGTACCAGAAATGTACCAGAGGCTGCAAAGGATGTAAGAAACACTCTTAACGCTTCAAAAAATGTAGGTTTGATATGACTGTTGTGAACACAGGAGTACTCACACTTCATACAGACAGAATTGATACCAAGTCGCTTGAAAGTAGTTAAATTACAGTTGTTTATTACAAAAATGCCATTCGTGTAGACACCTTAATGTTGCACAAAGAAGCATTTTGACTTGCAGTAACGGACTGTCTGAAAATATACTTCATAATCTCACAAAGAAAAAATAATTTCAAATCATCTTGAATAATCCCTTTCCTGTCATTTTTTGCAGTTTATTTAAACACCAAAGCGAGAGGTAAAAAGAGCTAACACAGGTGGCAAAGTGATACCTGAAGACACGGTAGATAGACACAGATGAAAGATAATCCATCATAAAATACTGAGACTGAACTGATTCTATTGAACACAAATAGCCTCTACTTCATCTGCCTTTCCTTCCCTCTTAGGAGGAAGTTCTTCACCCAGAGGGTGGCGACACGCTGGAACAGGTTCCCAAGGAGGTTGTGGATGCCCCATCCCTGGAGGCATTCAAGGCCAGGCTGGATGTGGCTCTGGGCAGCCTGGGCTGGTGGTTGGCAACCCCGCACATAGCAGGGGGTTGAAACTGGATGATCATCGTGGTCCTTTTCAACCCAGCCCATTCTATGATTCTATGAAAGTCTTTGTACAAACAATTATACGTGTACAGGGCTTAGCAAAAAACAGCTACTGACAACTGAGGAATATAAAATCTGCGGTAAAAAGC